CCTGGCCTGTAGCCTGCTCTGGAACCTCATCCGCCACCTGCTGCAGCGTCTCTGGGTGGGCCGTTGGCTGGCAGGCCGGGCAGGGGGCCTGCAAAGAGACTGTGCTCTGCAGGCAGACGCCCGCGCCAGTGCCCGAGAGGCAGCCCTGGTCTACCACCAGCTGCACCAGCTGCACACTATGGGTATGACGGTGAGGAGTGGGCCCGGGGCTCCTGCTGCCTGCACCGCCGCGGCCTCACCCCCGCCTGTTTTCCAGGGAAGTACTCAGGCGGGCCCCTCGCTGCCGCCAGCCTGGCGCTGAGTGCCGTGAACCTGGGGGAGTGTGCAGGGGACGCCGTGTCCACGGCCACACTGGCTGAGATCTATGTGGCGGCTGCACTGAGGGTCAAGACCAGTCTCCCACGGGCCTTGCATTTTCTGACAGTGAGTGGGCCGTGGGCCGGTGGGGAAAGGGCTGGGGGCTTGTCTTTGTAGCTCTGGCCAATGGCTCCCTAGACAAGGGGCTGCACAGGAGGCAGCGGTTGGTTACGGGGGGGCTCACCAGGGGCTGGGTTTGACCCCCTGCCTGGGTCCTATGTGACCGCCCGGCTCCCCTCCCCTACAGGGCATCTTCCTGAGCGGCGCCCGCCAGGCCTGCCTGGCACAGAGCGGCTCAGTGCCTCTTGCCATGCAGTGGCTCTGCCACCCTGTGGGCCACCGTTTCTTCGTGGATGGGGACTGGGCCGTGTGCAGTGCCCCACGGGAGAGCCTGTACAGCGTGGCCGGGAACCCAGGTGCTCTCTCACCTCTGTGCCTGTCCCCTGTTCCCCGTCCCTTCCCCTGTCCCCAGCCGTATCCTTCGTCCCCCATTCCCAGTCCTCATCCTCATTCCTGTCCTGTCCCTTGTCCTCTGCATCTCTGGATGCCCCTGCCCACCCTGGTCTGTTCCCCTGCCCTCTGTTGTTGCGGTGGGGCTGTAGGAACAGGATCGCCGAGCTGGGTCTCTATCTCAGTTAGGGCTCTTCAGAAGCAAACAGAGAGATGGATTTGGGGGCAGCTGGCTAATTTGGGAGGTGATCCCAGGCAACCGCGCTGTGCAGTGCGGAGGTCAGACAGGGCCTGGACAGGGCCGACAGGGCGTGGTCCTGAGTGGATCACCCTGTCCACAGGAGGTTCTTCTCTCCAGGGGTGGCTGGGATGTCTGTCTCCCAGCTTTCGTCTGCCCAGGAGCCAGGCCCACCCATGTGCTCAGGAAGGAGCCCTAGTGTGAGGGGTGGATGTGGAGAGGAGGGCTGGGCCCCTTCCCACCACCCCCCTCACTCGCTCCCCCCCACAGTGGACCCCCTGGCCCAGGTGACTCAGCTATTCCGTGAACATCTCTTGGAGCGGGCGCTGAATTGTGTGGCCCAGCCCAACCCCAGCCCTGGATCGGCTGATGGGGACAGGTAAGCGTTGTCCCTGTGCCCCCCCACAAGGCAAGAGCCCTCCACAGTGGAGTCTGGAAATGGCTATGTCCAGAGACCTTTGTAGGAGGCCAGAGCCAGGCTACTGTCTACTGGCTGTGTGGCCTCAGGTGCATATCAGTGACTCTCTGGTTCTCAGTTTTCCACGAGCCTGGCAGGAGGAGACAGTGGTACTTTGTAGAGCTGGGGGTCAGGCTATGCTTTGGTAGGGAGGTGAGAAGGCCCGTGCCCCCCAGGACTTTCAGGTCCCCTGCCACCTGTCCTGACAGCCAGTTCTCTCACAGGGAATTCTCAGACGCCCTCGGGTATCTGCAGCTGCTGAACAGCTGTTCTGATGCTGCTGGGACTCCGGCCTGCAGCTTCTCCATCAGCTCCAGCATGGCCACCACCACTGGTGAGCCCCCAGGCCCTTGCCCTGTGATTCCCTGCTCAGCTCCAGCTCCACATCAGCCCAGCCTCTGGTTCAGTGTGGCTGAGTTTCAGGGAGCCCCCCTCTTGCAGGCACAGACCCGGTGGCCAAATGGTGGGCCTCGCTGACAGCTGTGGTGACCCACTGGCTGCGGCAGGATGAGGAGGCGGCCGAGCGGCTGTACCCGCTGGTGGAACACCTGCCCCGTGCCCTGCAGGAGTCTGAGTGAGTGCGGGCCAGATTCTCCCAGCCCCCCAGCACTCTGCCAGCCCCCGGCCTTTGTTCTGTGCAGTTGGGGTTGCCAGCTTTCTTCCTCATGAAGCCAGAACCAGGGCACTGGGGAGCTCAGTGAGGGCCTGTGGCCTGGTCTGACCATCACTCCTCTGCCCTGGCCCCAACAGGAGACCCCTGCCCAGGGCAGCTCTGCACTCCGTCAAGGCTGCCCGGGCCCTGCTGGGCCGCGGGAAGGCAGACTCTGGCCCGGCGAGCCTGGCCCTCTGTGAGAAGGCTAGTGGGTACCTGCAGGACAGCCTGGCTACCACACCAGCTGGCAACTCCATTGACAAGGTGAGGGGTGGGGCCAGGGGCCTGGCAGGTCTGTGGGGGGGGGCGGTCACAGCCTTTCCACTCTCTGGATTTTCCCCCTTGGGCTGCAGAAGACTGTGGAGTTAGCCCAACAGCACAGGCCTGGGGGCCTAGCTGGCCAGGCTGAGGCTTGGGTCCAGAAGAGAACAGCTGACCTTTCTGGCCTCAGTTTCCCCACCCCCAGGAGGAGGGGTGGTGAGTGGTGTGGCAGGGCCCTGGCTGCTCCTGTGGCAGTGGCAGGTGCGGGGGCCTGGAGAGGCGGGCGGCCCCGCGGTGCATTGCTGTTGCATTGCACGTGTGTGAGGCGGGTGCAGTGCCTCGGCAGTGCAGCCCGGAGCCGGCCCCTGGCACCGCGGGCCCCCACCCCTACCCTCCCAGAGCTGGAGCCCCCCATGACCCCTGCCCTGCCCACCACCCCCAGGCCATGCAGCTGCTCCTGTGTGACCTGCTCCTTGTGGCACGCACTAGCCTGTGGCGGCGGCAGCAGCTGCCCGCACCAGCCCAGGCCTCCCAGGGTCCGGGCAGCGGGGCCCAGGCCTCTGCCCTCGAGCTGCATGGTTTCCAACGGGACCTGAGCGGCCTGAGGCGTCTGGCACAGAGCTTCCGGCCTGCTATGCGGAGGGTGAGTGCCCACGAGCCCCTCACCTCACAATGGGGACAGGAGGCAGCAGGTGCAGGGGGAGAGTGGGAACCTGGCCTGAACCCCCACTCCTGCCCAGGTGTTCCTCCATGAAGCCACGGCCCGGCTGATGGCAGGGGCCAGCCCCACACGGACACACCAGCTCCTGGACCGCAGTCTGAGGAGGAGGGCAGGCCCCTGCGGCAAAGGAGGTGAGAAGGGGCTGCCCTTGTAGGGGCGGGGGCTGGCCCAGCTTCCTCCCCCCGGCCTGGGTGGGAAGGGCCCCGGCAGGGTTGATGTATGCTGAGGGAGGCTGTGTTAGAGGCAGACCTAGGGGCTCGGCGCTGGTTACCTGATGGAATCGCGGAGGGGGCACTGTCCGCTGTGGGACGGGTGACTGCGCCGTCGAGCCCCCGAGTCTGTGTTCCACGGGACCGGCCGGCCAGGGGGCCGAGGGGCCGCGTGCGCCGGAGCTGAAGGCTGGCGCGACCCTGCCCGGGCGCGCGGCCCCTGACGCGGCGTGTGCGCAGGCGCGGCGGCGGAGTTGGAGCCGCGGCCCACGCGGCGGGAGCGCGCGGAGGCTCTGCTGCTGGCGTCCTGCTACCTGCCGCCCGGATTCCTGTCGGCGCCCGGGCAGCGCGTGGGCATGCTGGCCGAGGCGGCGCGCACGCTCGAGAAGCTCGGCGATCGCCGGCTGCTGCACGACTGCCAGCAGATGCTCCTGCGCCTGGGCGGCGGGACCACCGTCACCACCGGCTAGACCCCGCGGCGCCCGGCGCCGTCCGGCTGTGCCTCGGGCTGGAGCCTGGACGGCCGGTGTGCCCGGCTCACCCTCGGACTGCACTATCCCGGGGGGGAGGGGGGTGGGAGACCCTCGGGGACTTTGCCTTTTCACCTGGGAGGACGGAGTGAGCGCCATCTCACCGCCCTGCCGGCTCCGACCCGATGAGCCGCGGCCAGGGTGGTGCTGACCCCTCGTGGGCGGTCGGGGGATTGCAGGGGCCGGCGGGCCGGTGTCGCCTCGGCCCGCAGGCACCCCGTGGCTTTCCCTTGTCCTGTCCAGAGAGAAGAAAGGGGTACATTTTACTGAGCTGAGGGGGCCGACTTGGCCTTCCCGGCCAGCACGGAGGCCCTGCCCCAAGGCGCTTCTCGCCCTTCTGGGGAGGCCTGTGCATGGTGTAGATCAGGGGGCACCAGCCTCCTGCCCTCCGAGGCTCAAGTGTTACTTTGCCTTTTGCAAACTTTATTTTCATAGGTTCAGAAGTTTTTGTACGGAGAATAAAAAATTATTTATAAGATTGGTTGTGTTCCTTTGGGGAGGAGGTGGCGTGCTTCAGCTGAAGTATATGTCTCCCCACGGAGATCCTTTCGGCCCCCCGTCTCTGCCAGCACCCAGACAAAGGCTTCCTGCCCCCACCCACCATAAGGGACAAAATTCCCCTTTCCGGTGTCATGGGGGGGGGGGGTCTTCCAGACTTGGACTGACCTGATCCCCTGATCTCTGGGCCGCACGTTTGGGCTGTATCAACCCCTGACTCTTAGGGCCATCATGGTCTCAGCTGTCCCTTCTCGCCTCCCAGCTTCTACCCCATCAGGTCCCAGGGTGACATGGGAGGACGGTTCAGTGTCCTGAAGGATCTGTTGTGACAGAATTGGCTACAACCTGGTATCCCTTTGGGGTGTCAGTCTCACCTCCCCCCATCTGTCTCCCTGGAGAAAGCCTTGGACCCCCATCAGACCTGAGACCCCGAGGCTGCATGGTGGTGGTGGTGGGGGGGGGTCCACTGGGCAGCAGGGGCTCCCTTCCTGTTCCTGCAGTAATGGCCAGAATCCCTGATTCCCCGTTCGTGTCCCCTTCCACCTCCGCCTCCATTCCCACCCCTCACCTAAAGCCAGGCCCTGTCTCTGCAGAATCTGGTCAGAATACACACGCTGCAGACTTCCAAAACAATCGTATCTTTATTGACTTTTTTTTTTTTTCTGAATGCAATGACTGTTTTTTACTCTTAAGGAAAATAAACATCTTTTAGAAACAGCTCGATACACACAATCTTCAGTGTGAAGCAATATACTAATAAGAACACTAGTCGTCTTAACATTTACAGTCTTCATATATATTATATATATGTATATGTATACATATATATACACTATATAACGAGGCCAGATATAATACACACGTTTACCATTTTACAGTCATATGTACAGGAAGTTGCTACGGCGGCCCCGCTCTGGGGACTGCGTCAGGCCTATCGAAGCGTGGACAGAGCTGAGGACACGGACGGACAGGCGGACGGACGGGTGGGTACTGGCCTGGGCCGGTCGGTGGTGGCTGCGTGAGGCAGGGGCATCGCCGCAGCCCCTTTCCGGGAAAAGGCCCCGTGCTGAGGGGCGCGCGACACACAGCGGCGACACACCGGAGAAGCGAGCATGTTCCCAACATATATACATTCTATGTAACATATATATAGAGGGGTACACAGGTTTGTACACGAATCTAGCGCTGTCTCTGCTCCTGTGCCAAGTAGGCGCTGGGTCCTTGGAGACCGGTGGTCCTACAGAGGGACGATCACGCATCCGCCGGACGTGCCCTCTGGGTGCGACGCCTTTCCTTTTGCGCTCCTAGGCGGGGTTCCAGGGGCGGCTGGAGGACTGGAAAGGGGACAGACAGAAGCGGGGGGGCGGGGGGGGTGGCATTCCGCCCACGCCCGGGGAGCCTGCATCCCGTGAGCATGGCCCCGGGACTCCCCGAACCGCTCTGCCCAAACCGCACGAAAATTTTGGCAGAGGCTGGGTGGGAAGGGCGCTTGGACGCGTCCCAAACGGTCCGTTCCAAAGCCTCCCGCCCCCTCCCCCGCCGGCCGAGAGTCTGCAGAAAGGATTCCGCACTCCACCCCCACCCCGGGCGCCCCGCTGCTTGCCGCGACCGACAGCGGTGGCGGCGGCACCCACGTGGAATGTGTGCCACGTCGTCCTGGAACTTCCAGGGGAGAAGCGTGTCCCGGGCCGACGGCGTCTCCCCGCGCCGGGGCCCGCGCGCCCCAAGGAGCCCGCCGCTCCGCGGTCTGCCTCTCAGCTGGCCCGGGCGCTGGGCGAGGGCGCCCGGGGCCGCCTGGTTCCGGGAGAGGCGGCTCCGGAATGTGTTTTCTTCCCGGCCGCGGGCCGCAGGGTTCAGCCCCGGGCGGCCAGATCCAAGACCCGGGGTCCGGATCGAGGATCGGCTCCGGCCCGGGGCCGCGCAGGCGGCTCCTCTCCTCCGGCGCGGGGGCGGCGGCGGCCTCGGGGGATTACAACGGCAGCCTCTGCGGAAGAAGCGGACACGCCGCCGCCCGTCACGACGCGCGGGCAGCGCGCAGGGCTCCGTCCTCCCCGCCCGCCCCCCGCGCCTGCCCTCTCTGTGTCCCCTCCCCGGCATGGCCCTCCCTCAGGACCTGCCCGGTGTAGCCCGCCATGTGCCGGCCTGCCTCACCGCCCGCCGAGCGCGCAGGCGATGCCCGCGGCCCTGCGGTGGGCGAGGAGAACCCCCTCGGGGCTGGGGCCTGCTGGGGATCCGCAGGGCAGCGGGCAGCGAGGAGGGAGGGCCCCTCTCCAGCCTGGACCCCCTCCAGGGAAGGCTTGTGGTCACTTACCTTATGTTTGGGACATTTCAAAGAAAAGTTCTCTTCGATGAATATGCAACCTGTGACCAAAAATAAGTTCGGGTGATTAGGGCAGCTACTGGCGCTTCTCAGGGGCCCGAGCGCAGGGCCCAGGTGGGCCCTGGGCTGCAGGGGCTCCTTGCAAAGAGTACACCAGACCCTGCTTGGAACCCTCCACACCCCCAGCCCCGCCCTCCATCCTGCTGGCCTCCGCCTCAGCCTCCCTGGAACTCCTTGTCACTCCGGGGGCTTTCCCTGCCCATGGGCTGTAGCAGACCTCACTCCCCAGCCTCTCTCTGCATCCCCCTGCCCGGCCACACTGTCGCCACCTCCTGGCTGATTTGCTCATGGTCTCTGCCCCACTGTAAGGCCAGCACGGCCCAGCGTTGCCTTCTTCCCAGAGGAGGCCCCCCAGAAGCCCCGACCCTGGCGGGCGCTCAGCGAACACATGCTGACAAACTTCGAGGTGCAGTCCTGCGTCTGGATTCAAGTGCCAGCTCCTTCTCTGAGCCCAGGCTCCACAGCTGTAACCCCGCGTGCGTCATCAAGGGCTGAGGAGGAGCCTGTGCCCATTGCGCTCACAGCGCCACAGCGGGCAGGGCTTGTTCCCGTGGGGCCTAGCATGGGGGCCGGGGCGGAGGGGACCGAGGTCTCAGGTCTAAGTGAATCCCATCGGAGAGCCCAGGGCACTGCCCGCCTGCAGGAGCAGAGAAGATGGCTGAGCAGGGCCAGTCCTTGGCGCCCGCCTTGGCCCAGGGGTGCGTCGATGCCTCCGCCAGTCACCACTCCCCTGCCTGCTCCACCTAGGGAGACCCAGGCTTCCCCTGGAATCCCCGCCCACCGTCACTAATGCCCTTCTGGGCTCACCCTCCTCCCTCTCCTGCCTCCCCAGCCATTGTTGTGAAGAGACCCCAAACCCACAAAGAGCCGCAGGCCTGAGCGAGCCCCCTTCTCCCGGCACACTTCTCCTGCTCACACTGCAGCCACCAGCGGTGGCTCTGTGCTGTGGCACCATGACAGCATGGTGGTCGGCAGGCAGGGCAGGGAGTGGAGACAGATCTTCAGCCCTGAGAGCGGGGCTGGGAAGGCTCCGGGTCTCTCTGAGGCTGTCTCCCCTTTTTTCTACCCGAAACTTGCCAGAAGCTGGGGGGCCTCAGACCCGAACGCCGCCCATGAGCTTCTGCCCTCGGGGCCAGAGGGCGACCGCTTTTGCCCTTCCCTAAGCTCAGGCAAGCCGGACACGGTCCTGGGACTGAACTCACGCCTTCCAAGGAGCACTGGGCTGCAACCCCAGGCCTGCCGCGCACATGTCGCCCCCCCCCATGCCACCCCACCCCATGCAGCCCTACAGGCAAGGGCTCGGGCCTCCGGAAGCAAAGGGTCGGAGGCCACCACTTCCAGAACCAGCTTGCTCAGTAAGCCCCCAGCTGGGGGTGGGGAGGGCAGCCACCCGGTAGAGCTGGATCATCAATTCTGGCCTTTCTCTTGGTGTCTGGACCTGGGCAATCTGGGACCTAGCTGACAAGGTGGCCCCGGGGCCTGAGTGTGGAAAAGCATGAACAGGACGCGTTGTGTGCTGGCCTTGGCCAGCCCTTCCTGCTTGGACAGACTGCTTCCTGCAGTCACTGCTTAGCTCCAACTTGGTGCTCCTTAACGCGGTTGAATGGAGGGCAGGGTTAGTGGGTCAGGGCAGAGGGGAAGGGCAGCCCTTGTGCCCTGTGGTCTGAGAGTGTGACCCAGACACCTGGAGATCCCCGAGCCCCCCACCTGCCAGACCTGGGGATCGATAGGTGCAAGGTACTGACACAGGCCTGGGGTTCCTGCTGCCCAGCTCACTCTCTCCGCTCCCTCTCACTCTCGCCCTTCCTGGCTGGCCAGAGCCGGATGTGGGGCTTCCTTTGGCCAGCAGAAAGCAGCAAGGGAGCCTGTGCAATCCTGAGCCTAGGCCTGCTGGAGGAGAGAGACCACATGGAGCCGAGAGGGGCTGGCCTGACTGGCTGCCCCAGCTGCCCCCTCTGCTGACCACAGCTGCTGAGTGAGCTCAGCAGAGCCCAGCCGAGCCCAGCCGGGTCAGCAGAGCCTGCTAGCCAAGCTGTGCCCTCGTGAGAAATAAGGAAGGATTGGTGGTTAAGCCGCTACATTGGGCCTGGGACGGCCATGAGCTGCGCAGCAGCAGCGAATCCACTGTGGGCACACCCTGCCCTGCCTCAGACCTGCCCCGAGGGGAAGCTGGGCCGTCCGGCTCCGCACAGCCGTCTCCCTCATCCCTCACGCCAGGGCCTACGCTTTCTGCGCCAACAAGGGCTCTGGGATGCACGGCTCTGTCTGCACCTGGCAATTCTCCTCTCCTGCCTGGACGACTGCAGCGCTCCATCAGCTCTTTTTACTTTTTAAAAAGATTTTCTTTTTTATTTTTCCTTGTTCTTCCCAAAGCCCCCCAGTACATAGTTGTGTATTTTTAATTGTGGGTCCTTCTAGTTGTTGCATGTGGGACGCCATCTCAGCATGGCTTGACGAGCAGGGCCATGAATGCACCCAGGATCCGAACCAGGAAACCCTGGGCCGCCGCAGGGGAGCCCACTTCCTGTCGTAATCCCTCTTATATAGGGATCCTTCGAGGACTTCATTTGAAGCAAAACTTCTGTTGCTCCAAGCCTGGTATATATGACCCACCACCAACCATCTGCTGCCCACCTCCCCTGACCTTTAGAGGCCTGGCTCCAATGTCACCCCCCTCCCCGGAAGTCCTCCTGTATTCCCTCCCAGCTCAGACAGGATGAATCTCTCCCACAGCACACGCTCTTCTCCTTCTCTGGTCTCCATCACTTTGGCCAAGGACCACGGCTTTCCTGTCTGTCCCACTCAAATGTGGCCCCCCAGGAGGCTGGGCAGCACTGGAGTTGGGGAGAGAGCACCAACGTGGAGCAAGACAGACAGGCAGTCACGCCCTGGTTCCGTCTGCGTGCCACGTGGCCAGGGGTAAGGCAGCCTATCTGTAAAGATGCACCAGGAGACGCGCAGGGCCTGACGCAGGGTCTGGCCCAGAGCGAGTGCTCAGGTGACTGCCGCGGAAGGAGGGCAGCAACTCGACTCGTGTAGCTATTACTGGGAGGAAGGCCGTGTCTAGTTAAGTGCCTGAGGCCACATTAAAATCTGGTTCACACTGCTCAGAGTGGGAGGGGGGAGCCAGTGAGAACCCTCACGCGCTCCTCCAGCTAGCCCGCTCCTTGCAGGGTGCTGGTATGTCAGCCCTCTCCAAGGCACGGCCATCGCTCAGAGTCCTGTGTGTGCTCCCGGGCGGCCTGGCTGGGGCTGATGCCGCCGGGACCAGGCGGGCAGGCAGGCGGGCAGGCATGCAGGTGGGGCACAGGGAGGGGTCCCCTCTGCCCAGGGGAGAGCCAGCAGGCATTCAGGTGCGGAGGAGGGGCAGCTGGCCCCCAGGCGGCGGGAGATGCCTATGCCTTGTCATCTGTGAGGCAGGTTGTAACTTCACCCCCTTCCACGCCAGAGGACGGAGGGCAAGGTGGACGGGGGAGGGGCCAGAGGTCGGGCCTGGGGCCTGGGCAGTGTTCAGTGTTTCCCTCCCTGCCGCAAACCACCGTGCAGAGAAGGGATTCCCAGAAGCTCCGCTTGACGGCGGGGAAGCCTAGCGCAGAGACACCAAGGCACTTGCCCCGGTCTGCACCTTAAAGATGCCACCAGGGTTTGAATCCAGGCCAAAGCTGCCGCTAAACCCCTAAAACACTGTCTCATCAATGACTAGAATGCCACCGTCAGCAGTCTTTCTTTAGCTGAAATAACGGAAGGCTTTGAGCCTGGGTTTCCCGGCCTGGCCAATGAGGTTTGCGGCTCCTGGATCTCTCTGGCCCTCACAGTCTGTCATTCCCTGTGCCCGGTGATAGTAGGTACCCAATAAACGCCCATGGGACAAATGAATGAGTGAGGGAGGGGAGAGAATGTGGGGAGAGGATGCACAGGAAGCCCAGTCCTGCCTCCAGACCCTATCGCTCTGCTTAAAACCATCTACAGTTATTCCCTGTAGCCAATAGGAGTCTGTTTTGAACTTCATTTCCTCCCATCTCATTCAGTTTTTTGTTGTTGAAGTACAGCCTTTCCCTTTTTCTCTGCCCAGTGAACTCCTATTCAGCCTTCAAAGGCCCAGCCCTAGTATCCCTTCCTCTCTGAGGCCTGAAATTCTCCCCATCCCTTGGCACCCTATTGGCAATGATAGCTCCTCAAACAGCTCTCCATCTTGTAATTTATGCCTCTAGGCATTCCTCAAGTGGGTGGCTGGGGAGTGACTCATCTCCATGCACAGGTCCCAGTAGAGGGAGAGATGAAGACATAAAGAATTGCCGGGACAGGAGAGGAGGGAAGCCGAGAGGTCAAATAGGGGGGCACTTGAGGAGCTGTGCCTGGGGTCCTCTAGACTGCTCCGAGGGGCCACCAGAGCCTGCTTGTGCCCTCGGGCTGCTCTCACCTGCATCACTGGCGCACGGGTAATGGTAGGTGTGGATGCATCCTTTTTGGCAGCACCCAATGGTGGCCCCGGCTTCTTGGCAGCTGGAACAAGTCTGGTGAGGAGAGAGGGAAGACAGGTGAGTGTGTGGCTAAGGGCTCGGCACGTGGGCTTTCCAGACAAGCCCCCACGGTCCCTGCCTCCTGCCTCTGAAATGGTCCCTGGAATCAGTTAGCAGGAAGCTCAGCGTGGGGTGAAAATGCCGCAGGGCAGATTCTGCGGCAGCCCCTGGGCTGGTGCACTGGTCGGGGGACCCTCCCGACCCACAAGGAATGACTCCTTGTGGATAAGCATATGGGTCTTGGGATCACGCTGACCAGGGTTTGAATCCCAGCTCTGCCCCTCCGCACTGTGGGCCCTCAGCCGAGCCGCCCCCACTCCCCACGCCCCCTCTGCAGTAGGGACGGGGCCTCCTCTGGGGACGATCGTGAGGAGTCAAGGAGATGCTGCGTGCCCGGCGGGGGACAAGGACTTGTGATGCCTGTCACCACCCTGGCTCTGGCTGCCTGCCGGCATGCGCGGGTGTTTCCGGGTCACGGCACAGACGTGTCCTCCCCACTGGCTGCTCCCAACAGCCCTCGAGGCGAGTGACCGTCATGAACACCCCTTTAGGCTCCCACTCCAGGTGAGAGTGAAGGGAAGGCAACGAGCACGGTTTCCACTCTTCCCTGCCGTGGAACCAGCACTGACCCAGCGCCAGGCTGCCCCCCCCTTGGATGGCCCTTCACCCTCCCGAGGACCCAGGAGGAGCCAGCACAGCCTGTCCTCAGATGGCGAGTCCTGGAAACCTTGTGCCCTCCGGCCTGGCAGCCGGCCGTCCCTGCGTCTCAAACATGCAGTCTGCTGAGCCCGTGCCTGGCCCAGCTGCTGGGGTGGGGGGATGTGGCCAGGACAGGATGGCAAGGGCCGAGGTCCTTTGAAAGAGTGAAGCCAAGCCTAGGCCCAGAGAGGGACAGGTTGGGCCCCAAATCACGCAGACCCCAGACTCACGGCCTCCCTGTTCGATGTGGAAGTGAGGCGCAGGACAGAGTGGAGGGCTGCAGGCCCGCGTGCAGACGCTAAGCCCCCGAAACAAGTAACCGTAGCTTATGATGTGCCAGGCCTGCTTGGAAGCTGCTCCTCATAACAACTTGTGACATTGGTGTTAACATTCTTTTACCCAGGTTACCAAGGCAGAGCTCAGAGAGGCTGAATAATTGCCTGAGGACACACAGCTCAGAAGTAGTTGTGCTGGACTTTGAGCCCAGCAACCTAGCTCGAGCACAGGCTGGCAATCACTATCCCATACTGCTCAGGGCAGGGGCGGGCTCCATCCCAGGCCCCAGGACTGAGGGAGACCCACCCCTAGCAGCTGGGAGAGGCCAGCGGTGAGAAAGCCTTCTCCCACCCTTTCTGATGGAGCCTGAGAATGCCTGGCACACCCCCTCTGGCACCAAGGGTGGGGGGGTGCACCAGGGTACATTTTGGAGCATCAGGTTTTCACACAGGGCCTCTGGCTGGGCAGTTCCCTCTGGCCGGCGCTGAGACCTCCTGGGGCTCTGGGGCCCAACATCCCCCCGGTTTCTGGCCCACAAAGGGCTGACGAAGCACGAGTAGGGGTCCCAGACCAGTCCCAAGTGTGCCCCGCCAGCGGCCCACAGGTGTTTTGACGGTTAAAGGGTTAAAGTCTGAGGGGCTCCTGGCGCCCCAGTGCATGGAGGCCCGGCCAGCCCCGGAGGGAGGAACCCAGGCACAGAGGCGGAGGCCCCTCTGGCACGGGGCCAGCGTGGGTGTGGCCTGTGAACCTCCCAGAGGACCCCTGGCTGGCCGAAGGGCCCAAACCGGGGCCTAAGCAGGTGCTACCAGCCTCCTAAGGACGCCCCGTCACAGGTGCACCCGCAGCCTCAGCACCCGGCCAGGCCTCACCAGGAGAGGAGACGCGGCCCACGGCGGCTCTGGGCAGACAGGAATCTGAGGTCCCAGGAGGTGGGCATGCTAGGGCTCAGGGACAGCAGGTTGTGTGGGGGCTCCCAGGAGGGGACAGAAGGAAGAGGGGTCCCCAAGAGCCCAAAGAGAAGTACTGTTCCTCCAGAGAGCAAAAGTGGGGCTGAAGTACCAACAAGCACGGCAGGTGGGCCTGGGGCCAGGGGGCCAGCCACCACAGCCACCGCAGCCCTGCAGCCCTGGAGCCCTGCTCACGGGGTTGCATTCTGATGCTCTCAGAGGGCAGCGACTTGCTGGTGTCACAGAGCCCGCCCCCCCATAGTGCCGGGGTCTGAACCGGGACCTGCATGACTCCAAGGACGTGTGCTGCTACCGAGATGCCGAGGCAGGAGGGACTCTTCAGTGGTTCAGCCCGCCAAGAGCAGGCCTGGGCTGTCAGAGGGGAGGGGCCAACGGCGACCTGCCCATCCCTCCAGGGTGTTCTGTAGCGCGCCCACTCCTCCTGGGGGTGGGGGGGGGCCTGCTTTAACAGCCCCCCTGAGGCTCGCACCCTGACTGCAGACCCCAGGCCCCACAGAGAACCATCTCTCTGGCACAGAGGCCCTCCAGACCCCGCCTGAGCCCCTCTGGTGAGGCAGGGAGACGCTGTCAGTGACCAGCAATGCCTGTCTGGCCTGCCCAGGTGTGTCCCCAGCAGCGGGAGGCTACAAGGCCACTTCTGGAGTATGGCACAGCAGGCAGAGACGGGCTGCCCAGGCCAAATTCCAGCTGTGTGACACCAGGAGAGCACAGCACCGTTCTGACCGCTGGCTTTGTCAGTCCAGCAGGACCTCAGTGTAAGTCAGTAGGTGAGACCAAAGCAAGTGGCTTCACCCGCACTTATTGCCGTCTCCTCGCCCAGGCCAGTACCGGGTACAGGGGACTCAGAAAAGATGGGGATCCGGCCCAGCACTCAGAGAAGGGTGGAGAAGCAGCACAGCCTGGCCCAGGCCCTGGCTGTGTGTGGGCGGTGGGCCGCGTGGGGGAGGGCTGCCCAGAGCGCAGAGCCGGGCTGAGAACACAGGCCTCCAGGAGCTGAGCATGAACGCGGCTGCCCGGGGCTGGTGATCTGACAGCTGGAATTGTTTTTTAATGACAGGAGAGACTTGAACCTATTTCAGGGCAGCTGGGAAGAATCCAGCGACAGAGAGAGAGAAGCAGAGACAGCAGGAGCAAGGAAACAAATAAGCAGAAGGGAAGAGGGGAGCGCTCCAGGGGCTGAGGGGCCCGGGAAGAGGGGGCGTCCTGTCGGGGCCGGGGTTCCCTCCGTCAGGCCTCAGGCTGGAGGCCAGGGAGGGCACCTGGGCATGGAGGGTCTCTAGCCGCGCCCTGGGCAGCGGAAGGTCAGGTGCGGGAAACAAGGAGTCGCGGGCAGCATGGACAGCTGCAGCTGCCCATCCCCGGTGGCCCCCACAGCCGACGGTCGGCGCAGGGGCTGGGGGACCGAGAAGGAGCGGGTGTGCAAGTGGGGCAAGGGGCGGCTGGGGCGAGGCAGAGGCTGACGGCCAAGGGCTGGGCAGCGCCGCACAGTGCCAGGGAGCGTCACTTCCCAGGAGCCTGGCAGCCCACATGGGGTCCTGAGTGTGGGGGGCAGGAGCACGGGCCCCAGGGACAGAAGCTGATGCCCAGCGCTCCGTTCCAGGCCCCTTCAGCTGCCAGCCAGCAGACAGGTCCGAGGGCTGGGCTGCCTCCTCCCTCTGGCTCTCTGCAGCCCCAGGAGGGCGGGAGGAGCAGAGGCCCTCGGCGGGTGCTAGGGAGCTGGGGCTCCTGCCATGTTCCCAGGCCCAGCACAGGACCGTCAACAGCCACACTCGTGGGCACTCAGGCTAGGCACGGCTAGAGCAGCTGTACGGGCATGAGTTCCTCAACCCTCACAGCTCCTCTGCAGTGGGAACTATTATGCCCGCTTGAGAGACAGAGGAAACAGAAGCACAGAGAGATCAAGTCTCGTGCCAGAGTCACAGAGTGAGCGAGGGGCAGTACTGGGATCTGAACCGAGAACCCAGCTCAAGTTCTCGCTCACAGACCTCTGTGGCTGGAGTCCCTCAAGGGGCATTTCAGCACCATTCATGATGGTTCCCAGGCCACCCTGCACGATGAGGGCCATGGGATCCTGGGGGCCTCCTGCTGGAGACTCGTTCCAACCACATGCTGTTTGAGGGGTTCTTCCCCCCTCCATCGCAGAGACCAAGGAGACAGGTCCTGGAGCGGGGCCAGCCCATACTGCAGACCCCTGACATCCAGTTCTGGAAGGCCCCACATCCTCTGGGGGCTCAGCATCTCAGCTGAGAAGCTGGGGCAAGGCGGGCTCCAGGAGTACTGGAGCAGGAAGGTGCCAGGTGAGTGTGTGGTGGGCACTGGGCTGGGCAGGCAGCACGGGGCTGCCGGGGGAGGCGTGGAGCAGGGTGGGCGAGCGTGTCCTTCCTCAACTGGGCTGGGCTTCCACTTCCCCACACCTTCCCCGGTCCTAATTTGTGATGTGGCTACATCTGGCCCGAACCACAGCACTGGGGAGATAGGGGCTTCCCCACTGCCTGCCTGCAGACCCCCAGCTCTACCCACCGCGGCGGGCTGGCCTCTTACCATGTCCACGGCCACCTTCATGGCCTCTTGCAGCCCAAAGAGCTTCCCGGCCACCAGGTAGACCCCGCCCGTCCACACGGCGCAGGCCTCGTGCACCCAGTGCTCCTGGGTGTCCCCGCCAGGCTCTGCCGGCGGCTCCTTGCTGCATTCATGCTTGCGGCTCTTGTCGGCTGGGGCCACCTCCTCGCCACTGTCCCCCCGACCGTCACAGCAGTAGCAACTCTGCAGCCGCCGGGACAGGCCCCGGGCACTGGTGCGCACTGAGCCCTGCTTGGCGGGGTCGGCCGGGCCGTCAGGCCTGGGGGGCTTCCCGGTGGCAGTGGCGGCAGCTGCACACTCGAGGCCTTTGAGTGTTCTCTCGAGGGGCAGCGAGGCCTCCTCACAGATGCCCTCTGGTCGCACCTTCTCCTTGAATTTTGGCTTCTTTTTGGGGAGGCAGTGTTCAGGATAGTAGGGCCCACAGAGGTCCCCGAGGTCCTTGAAGTTGGCCGGGTTTTGGCAGAGGCAGCAAACAAGGCAAGAGGTACTCAGGGCCTTGGAGACCACAGGCCCCAGACGCATGGTGGAGGAGAGGGGCAGGGGGTGCCGCGGCTGCAGCACGGAGCCTCCGGGGAGTGTAGCCAGGGGGGCCCCCGTCGTGTCCAAAGAGAATGAGCATGAGGATGAGGAAGAAGAGGCAGAGGAGGACGGCTTCCTGTGGGGCTTGGGCTCCTCCCCAGGGGAGTTGACAACAGTGCACACGGTGGTGAATGCGTCTCGCTTCTCCACCCGCACAAAGGGCGAGAAGGCCGGGGTGCGGCTGTCTGCCCGCAGCCGCTTGCATGAGGAAATGTACTTGAGGCGGATTTCAGGCTCTGCAGGGTCCAGGGGCAGCACCTGCTGCTGCCGCCGCCTCTTGGCACGCCCCTTACAGGGTGAGGAGGTGGTGTTCTTGGCCCGGCCCCGAGTGAGGCGCTTCCGCTTCGAATAGCTGCTGTAGTTGGCATGGCCCGGCTGCTTCTGTGCCCTCGTCTGGGGCTGGCAGGGCCGGCCCTCAGGGGGCTGGGAAGCCAGACCCAACTCCTCCATCTTTGGCTTCTTGCCTCCTCCACCAGAGCTGTCCTCCCCGCCGCCCTGCGTGCCGTTGGCCCTGTCTCGGGGAGTCAGGAGCGGAGCCAGGCCTAGGTGGGGCCGCTTCTCCAGGGGGCCTTTGGGGAGTCCGAGGGCTCCAGCCCTGCCTTTCCGGCTCCTCTTCTTAGGTGCCAGGGCAGCTCCCCGTGACAGCAGGGCCTCTGGGGACGTGAAGGCCTCGGTTTTGAGACAGTCGGCCGAGGACAGTTTCTTGCTGTTTGGGAGTTTGCCTTTGAAGGGTCTATTGGTGGGGTTTCTGCACAATGGCTCGGCCCCTGGAGCTCCTGGGAGTTTCTGCCCCACACCCACGTTTAACAGACCTTCCTCCGCTCCCAGCAGGCTGCCCCCGGCACTCTTGAGCCCACGGTCCTTCTCCGGGAGGGCCGGGCCCAGGGTGGTCCCAGGCGGGGCCCCCGGCACCTTGCAGGTGAACTTCTTGAGGCCGGGCGAGGTGATCTTCTGCACGATGGCCTCCAGCTTCAAGCCTCGGCCCTTCCGCGGTGGCAGCACCTTGGTCTTCAGGGCCCCCTGGAAGGCTGGCCGCGAGGGGAGCTTCAGGCAGCCATCGGGGGCCTCTGGGGGCAGGGGCTTCAAGGGGGGCTCCCCACCGCCCTTGGTGGGCTTGGCCTTCTTGGGAGAAGACATCCTCTTGAAGACTGGGGGGGAGCCCTCGGACCCCTCCTCCTTCGCGCCCACCTCAAGGCCGCAGGCGCTGCCGCTGCCACTCCGTAAGGCCAGGCTCCGCTTCTTGGTGGGGACGGGCGCCATGAAGGCCGACTTCCTTTTGAGCGCCGGGAGGGGCCGGTCAGAGAGCTTGCTGCCTGCACCGGGCTTGGGGACCCGTGCCCGCTGGCTGGCCCTGCCCTCCTTCTGGGGGCTGCTGGAGGCCTTGAACGTAGTGGGTAGGTGGCTGTTGGCAAGGAGCTTCTTGCTGGCACGGCAGTTGGGGAGCCGGCTCTCTGAGGGCCGCCGCCGCTTGGAGTGGAAGACCTCCTGGGTTTTGGTGCGGGACCGAAGGATCATGGAGCGCTGGTCCTTGCCTGGAGTGCCAGGTGAGTCCGTCTCCTTGGTTTTGGAGCCCATGGGGCTGCTGTCAGAGGCCACAGGCAGGGCGGCCGGGTTGCTGGGGCTGGAGGCGGCCTTGGGTGAAGGCTTCCCTACCCGCTTGCCTGACTTGAAGGCGGCTCGCTGCTTGCCGCCTAGTTTGTCTGGGGGAGCAGGGGTGGTGGTCAGGCCTGGGGGTCCAGGTGTGCGAGGCTCGCTCAGGGCCGTGAAGGAGCGGGTGCACATCCTGGGGAGCCCGTCTGAGGCCCCCCGGCCTGGGGCCCCCGCCCCTTCCATCTGTCCCTGGGGGGGCCCTGTGCACGACTCGGGGAGCAGGAGGTCTTTGGGCAGTGCAGGCGCCCTGCACGGGGAGTCCTCGGCCTCGGGCAGCCCCCGGTGCACTCGCCGGCTCCGTAAACTCTTGCCGCGAGGCACGGGCTCTTTCTTAGCAATGGGAGCCTCGGGCACAGCAGGCTTGTTGGGCTTCTGGGCCAGAGAGGCATCTGGGGCGAGGGTGGTGGAGTCCCCCGGAGCCAGCGCCCCCTCGGGCCCTTCTTCACCTGGCTTCATATGTGACAGGGAGGACTCAAACCAGCTCTGGACCTTCGACTCGGCACCCACGGTTGGGCCCAGCAAGATGACAGACTCCCCGGAGAGGTGGCATGGGGAGCCCCAGCCTGCCTTGGGGTCCAGCACCTCCTCCACCTCCTCCTTGGTGCACATGAGGGGGGCCTTTGGCGACAGCGGGTCCTGCATGCCAGGCCTCTGCTCGGGGCTGCCCAGGAGCTCACACAGGGAGGAGTACTCCTCCTCCGCCTCCAGGTCCTCCTTCCTGCCCGTGGGCGGCAGCAGCGGGAGGTCCACGAAGTCTGCGGCGGAGCAGCAGTGCTGGCCGTCCTCCAGCCACTGCTCGGCCTTGCCCGCCTCTGGGCACCGCAGCGCCCCACCCGCCGCCGCCTGCACCCCACACGCCACTTCCTGCTTGGAGTCCCGGGGCACGGTGGCCTCCTCCCTGGAGGGCTCCTCCTCCTGGAAGCCCAGGCAAGCCGAAGCCTCGTGGGCATTCTCCTTGCCGATGCTTTCCGAGGCCTTCCCATCCGGCTCCAGGCCCTTCGTGAGCTCCCCGGGGTGCAGCCCCCACCGGGGACACGCATCCCCCAAGTTTTCCTCCGGCCAGGCAAAGGGGTTGGCACTGTCCGCTGAGCTGGTGGTGGTTGTGTCCGGGAAGCAGTCAAAAGCTGCCGTGGCAGGGTCCGAGGTGGCAACCCCAAGGGTGGGCTTGGTGACAAAAGAGAGGGAACCAGTCGTCTTCTTGGGGTCGGGGGTGGCGAAGCCCACGGAAGGGTCTTCAAACAGCCCCGGGCTGAAGTCCTTGGTGTTGCCACTCTTGTCCAGCTGCAGGGACTCGGGCAGGGCCTCTGGCTCCCCTGGCCGAGGCCATGCGTTCTTGGCCATGGCGTCCAGGCAAGCGCTGTGGTTCTCCAGCGAGAAGGGCGGCTTGCTGGCGTCCTTGGCCAGGCCGGGTGCCTCGACCCAGGCCTTGTCGGCCTTCTCGCCAATGGCCTCCTGCAGCCCCAGGATCTCAGAGGCCAGGTCCTCCTGCGCCAGGGCACTGAGCAGCAGCCGCGGGCAGTCCCGCTCCCCTGCCACAAATTTGGAGAAGCTGTCGAGCGGCAGGCTGCTGTGCAGGCTCTGGAAGGAGTCATCAGACTTGGTGGACATGTCGTCGGGCGACGTCACGGAACAGGTGGACACGGACTCAGGCTTGGCCTTTGAGTTGCTGTTGACCCTGGCAGGGCTGCCGCGGGCCTGGTTGCAGTAGAGAAAGCTGCGCTCCAGCGGGTCCTCGGAGCCGCTCAGGTAGTCAGCCTCCGGAGGCTCGGCGTGGCTGGATTGCGGCGTGCTGCTCAGCGGCTCTGACAGCGGCGTGCCTGCTGGCTCAGCTGAGTAGCCACTGCTCTCAGGGCTACAGTGCTGGCTTTTGTGCTGCTCCGGTGTCCTGGGCACCGGGTTCTTGGCAGCCTTCCTCTGAGGCGCGGCGGCCTTGGAGAGCAGCAGCTGCTGCACGGTGCTGGAGATGTTCTCCACTTGCGAGGTCAGGGCCGTGAGGCTCTGCAGGCTGAGGTCTGACAGCAGGCTCTCCGGGAGCTTGTCCTTCTGCAGCGTCTTGCAGTTGCCGGCCTGGGTGTCCATGGAGCCGGCAGCGTCTGTCGGGGAGGGGTTGAGCAGGGGCATGAAGTGGCTGTGGTCGGTGATGCCGGCGGGGAAGGCCCCGGTGCTGAGCGGCTGCTGGCTGTAGGGGAAGTTCTCCAGGTTCGGCATCAGTGGCGATGGAGTGGAGCTGTAGGAAGGGGAGCGGCCCACAGAGCGCGCGGGCGAGTGGCTGGAGCTGGGGCTGAAGGTCTGGTAGTACTGTTCCGGAGTCCTGACGGCCGTGTCTGGCTGGCAGTAGCCTGGGCCTTGCTGCCCGTAGTGTTGGTACTTGGCAAGGTTTTGGTAATGGAGGGTTTCCTGGGCATGGTGCCGGCTCTGAAGGGCTTGCTGCTGCTGCTGTTTCTGCGGGTCATAGCTGAGGCGGCCCGACTGATAGGCATGAAGGTTCTGGACCCGCTGCCCCGGGGCCAGGCTGGCATTGGCAGTCAGCGGCCTGTCATGGGGCTGGGCAGACGGGGCCGTGCAACTCTTGTAGGAATGGGCCCCCTGCCCCCCGCCCTGGCCGGTGGCAGAGTAGGTGGAGGAGGTGGGGAAGGACTGCGAATGCTGGGGAAAGTGACCGCCCTGGGGAAAGGGCAGAGGCGAGGTGATGTCATTCTGCAGTTTCTGTCTTTGGAGCTTGGGGTACACCAGGGGCTGCTGGGGCTGTGGCAGCTGCTGCTGGACGTGCAGGGGGTGAGTCCGGAAGGGCAGCTGGGCGCCCTGCTCCGGGTACTGCCTACCAGGGGGCACTCCTGTCTTTTTCATCAAGTTCTCATCATATTTGCCCACCCCCCCTGGCAGGGGCTGCGGCTGGGGGGGTGGCGGCTGGGGGGGGCCCCAGGCCTGCAGGCTCTCCTCGCCTGAGTAGCGGCCCGGGTAAGGGCTACTGTCCTGGACGCCGTAGCCCGAGAAGGCCGGCCTCCCCTGCAGGGCCTGCTGGGAGGGCAGGCCCTTGCTGCCACGGGCTGGGCCGGTGGGCGCCGCGCCGCCCTCGTAGGCCGGGTACGGCTGTGGGCTGTAATAGTCCTTGGCCAGCAGCCGCTGCCGGTCGCAGCTCAGCCCGGCCTGGCCCGGCTGCCTGTAATTCTCCAGGCGAGGTGTCTCCTGCGAGGTCTGCTGGTAGTTCTGCTGTTTGCCATGGAAACCACACCTTTCTCGAAAAGACTGCATGACTCGGGCCGGCTATCTGTGAAAAGAGAAAGGGAGACAGGGAGGGCGGGGAGGGGAGGGGCAGAGGGAGAGCGATTCAGATGGGCCATTTCCTTTCGCCTCAGAAAGCCAGCCTCCCCGCCCTCGCCCCGCCCGGCCCTCTCCCCGCAGCTCTTAATAGTCTCCCCTCGCCAGAGCCTCCCCACCAGCTGTGAACGTATTGACGACTTCTGTGTCAGGGCGGTGTGCTCTGTAACCCCTGCTCTGACATCGCCTTGCCAAGGACGGCCACTGCCGCGGAGGGAGGCGCAAACTGCCTGCCCAGCACCAGGTCGCTGGGGAGCTGCCACCCGACCGGGCCGGCTCCTCCCCTCCCTCCCCGATCTCACCACTCCCAGCCCTTCCATGACAGCTCAAAATCATTTAGCAGAGCAATTCTCGCTCCCTTGTCCCTCAGGGCTGCAGGATCCTGTAATCTAGTCCCAGGGCGGCAGTGTTCAAGCGTGACCCAGCCCTGCTGGCCCGGGGAAGGTGTGCCCCTGCCCCAAGAAGCTGCTCCTCAAGGACTGCCGGCACGCATGCACACGCACACTCACACACACACACACATACACACACGCGCATGCTTGCACTCCTCCTCTATCGCTGCCACACCATCTGGAATCTGTCTGTTCCTTCCAGCAGATGTCGATTAGGGGCCACCAAGCCATCGTAGGCATAAAATGTCCCCTTCTCTGACTCCCCGCAAAGCAGGACAGCGGCACCTGCCTCCTGTTTCTGATATAGGTGCATAAACAAATTACGGGCACAGAGTGAGGGAGCACATGCTAACGGGGGCAGGAGCCGCAGTCCCTTCCTGCGTGATGAGGCCCTGCCTGGTCGGCCCCACCCGCCTCCGAAGGGTCAGGGCCAGGGCACACCAGGCCAGGGCACACAGGCCAGGGCCCATCTGTTGATGATTTTAGGAGCTGGGGCCCAGGCAGGGTCTAACCTGCCCCAAAACAGGATCCTGGGTCAGGTGAAGACCCCAGGGCAGGGGCTGCGGGCCGGTCAGGGCAGAGCAACTGGATTCACACAACAGGCCAGCCCTCAGCACCCAGGCCATGCATTCTCCCAATTGACTGGGGGCCTGGTCACCCCAGAAGACCCTCCAAAGAGGGAGGGAGAAACAAGGAGCACTCCAGGCTCAGGAGGAGCCATGTTGAGGGGCTGGCAGTCGTCCCTGAGTCCCAGGGGGCTTGGGATTTACCCACAACCGTGCCGGCTGGGGGGTGGGGTGGGCTGAGAGGCGGAAGAACTTGCCTGGCCTGCGCCTGCGTGGCCCAGGCCCCCAGGAGAGGATGGGGGACCTTCCAGTTCCCATTCCCAATGCCCAAAGAGGAAGGGGCGCCTTGCCTCGGGCTACAAAGATTCCAGGGTCATAGGAGGGACTAAAAGAGATGTGAGAAGAGAGAGACTGGCTGTGGAGCAGGGGGCAAGTAGGCGGCTTCCCCAGGAGGTCCAGCTCACCCCTCCTCCTCGTCTGGATCCCCCTGGATGCCTTCCTCATTCAGTGGCGGGAACTGACTGGGGAGGGGTGGAGGGGAGGGGCTCTATCCAGCTGCACAGGGCAAGCCCAGGGCGCAGACAGCCCCTGGGAGCCGTTGGCACCCCTGGGCCCACCTCCCCTGCCCACAGCAGGTAGCTGGCCCTGACTCAAGGGTGGAAGTGCCTCGGCTGTGGAGAGAGGACAAACGTCCTACAAGAGAAGTCCCTGCCCACTGGGCTTCTCCAAGCCAGGAGGCTCCATGCCGACTGCAGCCGGCGCCTTCCCTCCCAGCTCTCCCTGGATTTATCACAGGCATCCTGACAAGGAGCCACACGCCCGCCCTTCTGACCCACTTCAATGCAGCCCTGGCGGCTTGGAGCAAACATTACAGAAGGTGCCTGCTGCGACCTGCTGACCCAGGGGGGCTGGAGGCAGCACTTGGTGAGGGCTTGGTGGCTCCCCGCCAGGTGGGCAGCTCTGCGCTTCCTGACCAGACCTCCACAGGGCAGGGTGCTGGCCAGACCACCAGAGAGTTGCCCAGGTGGGTGGCCCTCTGCTGCCCCAAGGCAGGCACATGCTGACACCTCCCCATGCTGCTGGTGCCCTGCTGGCGAGTGGAGGCCACCTCTGCTCAGGGTGTCCTCGGGCAGCAGGCAGGGTCAGCAGCAGCCCCTGGTGAGAAAGGCCTGCTCTAGGGCCAAGGACGCCACGCCCGAGGTCTGCCCTCCCTGGCCCATGTTTATGAGCCCAGAATGTGCAAACCCAGGCCCACTCTGAAAGCTGTGCCTCGTATATCTGCACAAATTACATTTCGGCTTTTATTAGTCCCAGATCGCTCTCATTTCCTGCTGAGTGTCCTGTGGATATCATTAACATTTCTACAGCTTTTTAAAAATTTTTTATTTTTTTCACATTCTCCAAAATGCATTACCAGAAACATTATTTAAAAAGAGAGTGCTATGACCAGTGTCCCCCCCAATCAGTCCAGTGTCCCCTCCTTAATCAGTCCAGCTGCTGCGTCTTTTAATTTAGCTGAGCTGTATTGCAGGCGGGTTTCCCAATACACACGAGCAGCTGGATGCAGTGAACGCATCTATCTCTAAGAAAAGACAGTTCAATTAAAAACAAGAAGCCCAGTGCCTGATGGAGAATGCAGGCAAAAATGCTCACCCCAACGCCACCCTCCAGCCCCCGGGGGGGGGGGGGCAGGGGGCGGTGGATGCAGGAACAAAGGCATGGCATCAAACACTGCCTCTCAGAGACCACGAGGCCCGCCGGCTCTGCCAGGAGAAAATGGGCTCTGCCTCTTTAAGAGCTGCCTCAGGCCTGCCATGGGCTCTGTTGTTATTAATTATTATGGTTATGATTACTTTCCAAGAGCACTAGGAAAGGACAGGAGGGGCGGCATCAGGAGAAGGGAGCAGAAAGAGGCCCCCCGGCGGAGAGATGGTGATCTCTGAACCTGGGAAGGGTAGGAGGCAGCAGAGGGGTGCAGACTGGCTGTCTGGCCTCTGTGGCTTCAGCTGGAGGAGAAGGGGTGGGGGGGCCAGGGGAGGGCGCCCCCTAACGCGTCCTCACGGAGTTCTCATGGTCCAGCCCAGCCTCCCCATCCCACGCCCCCACCTGCCTCTTCTCCCAGACACTTGGTCAAGGCCTTATCTCTGAAGTTCCTGCCAAACTGGGAAGGCGGGAAGGCTGGGAGGAAGGGAAAGACAGAGGGAGGGAGGAAGTCAGTTTTGAGTGTCCCCTGAGCACCAGATAGTTAGCACACCTCCTTCTGACAGCTCCTGGAAGGTGGCCCTCCCAGGCCGTGGGAAGAGGGGGCACCGGCTCAGGGAGAACAAGTGCTCAAGGGCACAGTGCAGACGCTGGCTCAGGCCCGGCCCTGGTATCCAAGGCGCCAGGGCTTCCCTGTGCACAGCGACGGGTCTCACTGCTCCCCTAGCCGTCTACACAACCCTGAAACGGGGGTAGGGGGGTGGGGGAACCAGAGAGTGGGGGCATAAGGAGACCCCAGACCCCCCACAGAGTGGGGCCAGCTGTTCTCCAAGGCCCTTGGTAGCAGGTGACCCAGGACTCAGTTCTTCTTTGAGGCCAAGACCCCAGCCCTCCCCCCTCTGCCCACAGGCCGGAATGGGGGTACCCGTGGCAGTGAGTGCCGACTGCACAGTATGCTCAGTTAATGCTTTGATTGTTCTGCCCACTTACAGAAAAAGGTGAGGGTCAGAGCAAGAGAGCTGCACGCAAGGCCAGGGCAGAGCGCCCAGCGAAGCCCCTTTGCTGGAAGCAGCAGCAGCAGCAGCCAGGCCCAGGCTGGGCGCCCCTCACCGAGACCCACACCGAGAATGCCCACCCTAGAGGAAGTCAGACGTCTTGGCGCACACCAGCTGCTGCGGGGGAAGGGCAGGGGGCTGCTGGCGGTGCCCTCTTCCCAGGCCCCTCTGCAGCCTGGGAGGCCTGAAAGCCGGGGCAGGCCCTCACTTTCATTCAAGGGCCAGGCCCACCTGAGGGAGTTCCACTCATGGGCAGAGGTGGTCAGTGGGTGCTTGCTGTGTCACCATGGTAAATACTGTCCCCTGGGCAGCCTCAGAGAGAGGTCGCTGGGCCCATAACCTCTCCAGTCCCCAGGGGCAGGGCCCAGTCTGGGCACAGTGTGGCCAGAGCTGCAGCAGCAGCCATGGGGACCCTGCTGGACCCAGCTGGGAGCTGTGGTGGACACTCGTCCTGAGTGGGGAGTGCGAGAGGGGGAGACAGAGAGAAACAGAGACAGAGAGGGAAAGAGGAAGAAAGAGTGACAGAGATGGGGAGACAGGGAAAGGGAGGGAGAGAAAGAGAAAAATGGAGAGCGAAGGAAGCTGTCCGTCTCAGCTCTGAGGCCGCTGGTTCCATTCCACCCACTTACCCAAGGTTATTTTATGACTCGGCTTCCTGATTTGTAGCTGCAGGGAAGAAAATGTAAAACCCGCTGGAGCCGCTGGAGGCCTGGGAACAAGGCAAAGGGGAGGGTTACCTGGGTCAGGAGGCCGGGCTGGGGCAGCGTCCAGGTAAGAGTGGAGAAGGGAGGACTCCTCCCTCGCCCGGCCTCCTCACCCTTGGTGGGGGATGAACACTAAATATGAGATCTCGATTAAAATGACAAAGCGTTAGCTGGGTTGACCGCTGACCTGTGCGGTCTATTCTGAATCCTAAGGGCCTGGCTTGAATAGGGGAAGGATGAGCTTTCCAGAAGTCCCCAAAACAAATAGCCCAGTGCCTGCAGGACTCCAGGATAAGTCAGGGTCCTTGGGCCAGGGGCTAGTGGAGAGGGAGGGGCCTGAGCCAGCTTGGGGAGGCCTGCTTCGGGCTGGGGGGACCTTCCTGAGGCATAAGGAAACCCAGAGAACAAGGCAGCCCCATCCCCAAGCATCACCTCTCAACTACACTCTGGGAGTAACACAGTCGGTATGCACCCCTCCTCATGCGTGGGCACCCCCACATGTTCACGGGAGAACTCCAGGGGTCAACA